TTGAGCTCCAGAGTCGCTCAACAGGCCTCGAACCGAACGTGTGACCCCACCAATGGATTCCTCGTTCGGAGAGCAATCCATGGGTGTGGTCACACGTTCGGTTCGAGTCCCTTTTAGTGATTCTGGAGCTCACAACGCGTCTCGGTCTTCTGGCCCACTGTGCGCTGAATCGCTGTGTTGCCATGTGCGGCTGGCACAGAGAAAAGGGCAACCAGATGGCAAAAAGAAATTATTCACATCGTGTCAAATTTCTGCTGCTCTTCCCCTGAATGGACACGGATTGTTGAGGATCTTTACGGACGTTCCCCTTGCGCTTCGTTAGGCGTGCGCTTTCATTTTTTGTAGTGCCAAAATGAGCCCCGGCTCGGGAGGCACCGAGCCTACCCGGAAGAAAACTCGGATAATGATGAAAGCGGATGAAGGAGCTCTTTGGAGGCACTTGGGGGGATTTAATTCGATAAGAAGGAGATTTGTTTGCCCAATCCCTTTACCGCGCTCATCGCAGTTGTGTAAACCAATTACTGGACCCGTTATGCCTCAATTCGCCGGCCGTCCCTCGGAAGCGGTAACGAAGCGGCAACCAGTGTGTCGAACACGGCGATTGGACGAATAGAGGTGAAATACGACGGTGACTGCGGGTCCTGACCTGATGGGTCGAACAGAGTCACTCAAATAATTGAAAGAAACAGCATGGCAAAAACTTTGGAAGTTTGCATTCCTTGAAATTCAGTCTTGGCCTGTAGTACTCACCTTTCTTTGCAGCGCTGACAGCGAAGTCGGGTCGATCTCAACACAGCCCCTTTACGGCTTTCCAGTGAGCACCAGACCACTTTCACTGCTGTGACGATATGCCATTTACCTGCTTAACAAGAGCCCCTTGTAGTTAGCCCCCCCCTCTCCTCTCTCCGCCTCTCTCCCCTTTCCCCACGTTGACGACGGCGCGGCTGCAAACAGCTAATTACATCACAGAACTATAACAAAGACAGAACAACGCGCGCATCTGTTGCAGAGCGGGGGACGGGGTGTGGAGGGGGGCTTGGCTGGGAATGCGGATCGGCCGCAAGGGGTTGGCTGACCTGAGAAAGAGTAGGGGCTGCCCGCCAGCCAGCGCCAGCTAGCCAGCCGGACGTGGTGGGGGGCAGGGGGCTGGCTGCCTTGATAACAATGCCATTCAACAATGCGACCACCCAGTCCCCTGATGAACCGGGCGGGGCACTCCCCCATCTCCACACACACACACACACACACACACACACACACACACACACACACACACGTACACACACACACACGGGCTTTACCAAAGGGCTCAAGCTGGGAGAAGAAGCGGCGTGGCAAAGGAATGGTTTTGTCACACGCGCGAAAGAAGGGCGGCACACAGCGACCTGTCCTGAGGGTCACGGCGGCCAGACGTACGTGGAATAAAGAGGGACCTGACGGCCGGGCACGGACCAGCACGGACCTGCACGGACCGGCACGGACGTGCGGGAATAGCGAGGCAGGCTCTTTTGTGCTTTTCTGGGCAAAACAGGCGGGCGGCCGCTGCCTCGGCCGCTGCCACGCAGAAGGTCTCCTTCATCTGCCCATCGATTTCTGCTTGGCTCCACCTGAGAGGATTAAAATCTCCTTGCCGGCAAGTTTGGTGGAATTGACAGTAAGCTGGCCGGCACAGCGCGCCCGTGTTCGGGTCTGCGGGGCCAGCCAGTCCGAAAAGCCCCGACTGCTGTCTCTCTCGCTCGCCTTGGGATAACAAGGAGAGAACTTCGGGAGGTTTTCAGACGAGCTACCAATCGACGTGTCCTAAATGAACTCTGGATCTCCACCAGACTGATAGAACCATCGTATCTCCCGGACGCCAGTAGAACTACCGTACTCGGCCGGCGCCCATAGAAAAGACGTAATTCGGGAGATCTGGCAAGACTATTGTATCGCTTTTTAGACGTGTTTCAAGGAGATTGAATTGAAAGGTTAAATGTGTCTTATAATTTTGGAAAATGAAAGGGGATATTAAAGGTTGACAATGACATCAAACTTATTTCATTTTCCGAATTTTAGTGACACTTAACCTTTCAATTCAATCTCTTAAAAACAGGCCGAAAAAGCGATACAATAGTCTTGCCAGATCTCCCGAATTACGTCTTTTCTATGGGCGCCGGCCGAGTACGGTAGTTCTACTGGCGTCCGGGAGATACGATGGTTCTATCAGTCTGGTGGAGATACCAGAGTTCATTTAGGTCACGTCGCAATGGAGAGTTCAGTGCGGATAGCATTGACAACCAAGAGCAGACCAGCAGGTGCAGGCTGCCCCTGTCATCCCTCATGCTGTAGGCCTAGCTATGCCTCGTCGGAAAACTCAAGTCGCAACAAATTATTCGTTTGCTAGTTTGTGATTTATGTAGCGCCGCGCAACCAGTCGAAACCGGGATCAACAAGTGCGCAATTCGTCATGCAAACACAGGCGCGCTGCGACGCCTTGCACGGAGAGCAGCTTGCCGCCAAAGAAACGTTTGCAATGCTGGATATTTAATTCGGTCGCGACTTCGGTGCTGGAGGTGACAGTGAGGCATTGACGAATGATTTTGTGAACGGCTAGAGCCACTTTTCAGAATGAGCATATTGTTCCCTAGGCATTTTTGTACTGGTGCCATAATTTTCCACAGCTGTGTTTCACGTCTTAACTTTGCTACTTAACTAGCGCTTACAGAATCCCACTACCTTACCTTTTAGGCGGACTCTTATTTATCTTGTTATCAACCTTGTGTTTCCTGTCCGTGTCCGACGGCACTTGCTTCCCGCCTCAGACCTGGTCATCCTCAGCATCTTTCTTGAATCCCTGTTGGGGTCCCTCAACTCCACAAGGCCTCATCAGCCCCTCAGTGTCCTGACTGATGTTTGCGGCTTGCTGCAGCCACCTGCCTTGCTGTTGCGGTCGGCCACACGGTGGCTGCCCGGTCAGGCTGACTGCCGGCTGCTCGGTCTGGCCGGCGGGCTTGCCTGTCGTCGCGCACGATAATAACTGTCGTGCCGCTTAATATTCGTCGCACGTCAAGTCTGCCGAGTCCGCGGGGACCCTCCCCTCCCCCACTGCACAGCCACTGCTCAGCCTTTGCAAGGTAACGGGCCATCCCCATTCAATCTGCCGCGCTAATAAGCGCTGTTTATCACGATACGGACAGATGTGTGCGGCCGGGATTACGTCACAATGGTCCGTGACTAGAAAGGGCTGCGAAAAACGTCGCTTCACTCCCTGTTTTTCTGAAAGTCTGAAAGCACGTCGGAACCAACGCCTTCAGCAAAGAAATACGATATAGTAGGGAGATGAATCCGCGCCCTACCTATTCCAACCGTCACAGTGTGGCGGATCGATTCGGTCCTCTAGATCCCTTTCGACCCCATGCGGGTGCTCTACGCCTCGCCTGGTCTTGTTGAGCTCCCGGCAGGAGGGGGAACAGAGGGAAAGACAGAGAGAGAGTAAGGTCCAAGTTTGTTCCCTCATTTGGGGCGAGCGTTACGCTCTGAATATGTGCTGGGGTGGGGCGGGCCGCCCGGCAGCCCAGGCTGCCAGCCCAGTCTGGCACAGGCAGCAGTCCCCCTCTGCGATTTTATTTAATTGGCCAGTGCAGTACGTGACCAAAGCATTAGCCGACAGTTTTTGTCAATTCCGCTTTCCCTCTTTTGTTTTCCTCATTTTCCGTCCGGGCAGGAGTGCGTCCGCTGGCCAGTTCCCGTTCACTATTTGATTCTGCTTGACGGAAAAATTACCTGATGCTATTCGCAAGCCGGGGCCGCCAGCGAGGCGCCGACTTTAGTGGTAGCTATGGTTGTGTTCCTGTTGCAAGTCGACCATCCATATGTGCTAACCTGTACCGGCACAGGTATTACTGGTTTCGGTTTTGGTCCAGATGCACGACTTTTACACATATTTCTGACAAACGTGTTTCCGGTTGGAGTGGTGCCTTCTGTCCTCGCTTCTTATAAGCACACGCAGGTGCACAGGTACAGTCCGGCGCTTCCGTGGACTTCCCCTCGCAAATTGTGGAAGGAGCGTCCTTTGGCTTTGTGCGCTTGTCGCCGACTCGCGTAGGGTTGAAGGCAGTGTAAGTGGGGTTTTGATGCGAGGCAAATTGAGATTAGGCCCCCGGCGGCCTGTCGGCGAGGGGTCGGCGAGGGGTCGGCAAGGGGTCGGCGAGGGGTCGGCCCATGCCCCCGCCAAGCCCTGCCCAGTCCAGCCCCAGGCACGCGCTGTCCCTCTCGCACCCACCTCCCCCCGAAGCCGAAAGGCTCGGCGCGGTCCACCTCGCTGTGTACAATACCCTGCCAAGCCCGGCTGTATCATTTTCAGGATTACACGTCTGGTCGGGGGAGATCGGACGAGGTCGGCACATCAAACGGCTGGCCGAAGAATAATCCCGACAGGTGATTTGGATCCCTTTCCCGGCTCGGGACGCTAACGTGCGTAAAGGTGCCGGGAAGGGGAAGCAAAACATGAATAGGGGAAAGTCAGCTTCACATAACTCTTCGCTTTCGACCGGATGTTTCGGATTTGCCACACATTGATCACATTTGGTTGAGACAGAATTCAGAAACTGAGAATAGAGCGGCTTTTTTGATGTGTCCTTCTGTCCCTGTCCCTCTGTTCAGTCTGGCCGGCAGTGCTGTTGTTTGTCTCAAGTTGCTTTCAGTGCAGCCACCATACTGAATTCAGTTTCCTCATTACAAGGCAGAACGGGCCCTCAGTAAATATCCTGCAACAACATCAAATTGCGTGCAGTGGCTTTGGCCAGACTGGTTACGCAAGAGGTCAACCTCCAGGTTGTGGAAGTCAGGGGTGCTGTCATAATGTCCACCGCTAAAGATGGTACTGAAGATGAGTTTCTATTGCGCGATATCGTCTAAAGAACTCAACAAGGACTCAACGCACCTTAGATCTGACTCATGTTTTGTTTCTTCCGAGTCACTTGTAGAACTAACTGGACGTCTGTGCCTCTTCTTGTTCGCAGGGGCGTCTATGGCTGTTAAGAACATCACCATCACGCTACCCGAGGCAGTGGTGCAGGGAGACTCGGTCACCCTCAGGTGTGACTACGACCTCGAGGACCAGAACCTCTACTCCATCAAGTGGTTCCGGGACGAGAGCGAGTTTTACCAGTTCGTCCCGAAGGAGATCCCCGCCACCAAAGTTTTCGACGTGGACGGCGTCAAGATCAAAGTTGATGTGAGTGTGCCAACCTTCATATTTTTCTGTGGCGCCGGGTGTCGCACTCTTGCATCAGTAGTCTGTGTCTGTGCAAGCCAAAGGCTTTAGCTCTGGAATATCTTCTTCTAAAAAGGAAATTAGTTTAATGTTCCATCTTTGCGAGTGTCTCGAGTCCCACCTTACACGTGAGTGAAGGCCACTCACGTGGGCAATATCCGATGCCACTTGGGCAGAAATAAAGCACCCTATTACCTGGTCCAAAGGCAACCCCGCCGGAGGCAAGGCCGGGCCCTCTCATGCCGGGCCAGCTCAGCCAGGGGGAAGCTCTAGAAGGGTCAACTGCTAATTGGCTGTGATCGCTCTGCTTATGCCAGACACGGCCACAGCTTCCCGTCAAAGGCCGCTAGTCCACGCCAGCGCTTGGAGCCTGGATGCCTCGGACGCTCATTGCAGTTGACCTTTGCTGGTTGACGGTTGTGGTTGTCATTTCATTGGCTTCATACTTTCAGCTGGTGTGTCACTTCCGTAAGCTACTTAGATTCCTGGCAGTCTAGCGAAGAAACTAGACGAACGAGAGTGAAATCCTTGCACCTGGACAGTCGGCTCTGCTTACCCCACATCTGGCTTCCCTGCGGCCGCCCGCCTGCCGCTGGATTGCCTCGGTTTGGGCCTTGCCAACTCCCCTACCTGCAGAGCGTGTTTATATTAAAACTTGGCCGTACTATTTTAGCGGTATTTAATAAATGGAAGGAGAGGTGGGTTCAAAGAGGGGCGGGGTGAAGTGGGAATAGGGGCTGGTTATATGCGAGTGCGGCATAGCCGGGCACAGCGCGGCTCGCTGGGGTCTTTATGCAAAACTTTGGACCGGGCCCACATTTTGGGGATAACTTTCTGCAGGCACGCGGTGCGCCTCGCCGGTGCCGCGATCCGCGAACATGTGTTGAGGCAGGTCAACCCGCCGGCCCGGACCAGCCGATCGACTAATATCAGTCGCTGGAAGAATGGCCTGCAATAGCAGAGAGATTTAGTGGCGCATAGGAATTTCATATTTGCCGCGGGGCGTTTCATGGCGTCACCTGAAGCACTCATTTTATTGGACTTGCTCCCACGCGATTGTTAGTTCACCCTTTTCCTCGAAGACCACAAGAATTAAGGTTCGGCTTTTAAAATGGGCGCTGGTGGTGTTCCACAGTGGGGTAGAAGACCGACGGAGGTTGCCAAAACTCTAGACGCTTTTGAGCTCCAGAGTCGCTAAACAGAACTCGAATCTAACGTGTGACCCCACCAATGGATTCCTCGTTCGGAGAGCAATCCATTGGTGGGGTCACACTTTAAAAAAGCAAGCTGCGTGACCATTGGGGAAACATACGCTGTTGTCCGACCAGCACCCATACCACGGTCTCCCGGCACCATTTCCCTTCCCGAGTAGTTCCATTGAATCGTATCGCATTGTGTTGGCGCTAATCAAGAGTGGCGCACTCACTCCCTCAACTTTGGACTCGATAGCGGCCAATTCAATTGGTGCCTTTGGATCGCCGGCCCATTGTGGGCGCGCACGCTGTAAGGGGGCATTTGCACCAGGCCGATCTCGAGGCCGATTGTGAACAAGTGCCTCGCTGTCTGCTTTTCTCAGCGGGTGTGTCGTGCGGGTGCGAGAGAGACAGAGCGGCCGGGGCTTAAAGGAAGAACGAAATACTGAACCAGCCAAGGGAATTTTGAAAATTGAAACGACGAAAAAGAACACTGTTAGAACCTTAGAAAACCATTTTAGGGCTGTAATAGGGAAGGAGCCAGCCATAACAAAGTGTTTCGAGCATGTTTAAGCTTGCAAAGAAGATACTTCGTGATTTTCTAACTATTTCTTCGAAAACGAATTGAATTTTTTCCAACTTACGCTCGACTTACAGGTTTCAAGTGAAAAAAATACGATTTCAAGAAATCCTAGGAGTCACGAAGTCAATTTGATTATTGTGTAAGAGTGTGGAGAAAGAAAAGAAGTGGTGTTGTGAAGTTGTGGTTGTGAAGAAGTGGTACCAATGTGGTCGATGTGCCATCCGTCGAAATTTAAACTTGACAATAAAAAGAAATCAAAATGCTGGTAAATTCAAAAAATTCCAATGCTAATGTATTCCGCAGTGTTCTGACAATGGAACATCTTTGAAGTCCATCATGATTAAAATGTTCTTAGCAGAAAGAAGTCAGTAAATTAATTTTCTCGGGTTGGCAACTATTTTCTCGGCGTCTGCGCCCTTGCGAAAATCGCGAAGCTGAAAGCGCCAGCAGTCGCGCATTAAAACTGCCCTCATTGTGGGGCAAACTTAGACTGTTTGGCTCCAGAGTCGCTAAACAGAACTCGAATCTAACGTGTGACCCCACCAATGGATTCCTCGTTCGAAGAGCAATCCATTGGTGGGGACAACTTTAAAAAGCAAGCTGCGTGACCATTGGGGAAACATACGCTGTTGTCCGACCAGCACCCATACCACGGTCCGGGCACCATTTCCCTGCCCGAGTAGTTCCATTGAATCGTATCGCATTGTGTTGGCGCTAATCAAGAGTGGCGCACTCACTCCCTCAACTTTGGACTCGATAGCGGCCAATTCATTGGTGCCTTTGGATCGCCGGCCCATTGTGGGCGCGCACGCTGTAAGGGGATTTGCACCAGGCCGTCTTTTGCCGATTTGAACAGTGCCCGCTGTCTGCTTTTCTCAGCGGGTGTGTCGTGCGGGTGCGAGAGAGACAGAGCGGCCGGGGCTTATGTAAGCTTGAAAACTGAACCAGCCAAGGGAATTGGAAAATTGAAACGACGAAAAAGAACACTGTTAGAACCTTAGAAAACCATTTTAGGGCTGTATAGGGAAGGAGCCAGCCATAACAAGTTCGAGCTGTTTAAGCTTGCAAAGAAAACTTCGTGATTTTAAAGTTTCTTCAAAACAATTGAACTTTCAACGTTACGCTCGACTTACAGGTTTCAAGTGAAAAAAAAGAAAGCAGGAAAATGAAGTGAACACGAAAAGAGACGAGGACAAACGTCACCACGGCCAGTCGAAAAATGTCCGCGGTGGGGCAATAAGTGCGTGGGTGTGGTGACGTGATGGCTGCATAAAAAGCACTGAGACTTGGTGACACGACGGCGCGGCTCTTGGCCCGCCAGCGCCACGGCAGCGCCAAGGGCGGAGTGGTCCCGGCCAAACGTGACTGTGACGTGAATATATCGTATTTTATGCTGTCCGGGCCGGCACTGCCCGGAGTGAGAGGGTTTCCCGCGTTTCGCGCGCAACTCCACGACGAGCAGGAACTGTTCCGTGCAAAGTCTTCGTCTCGGTCTGCGCTGTTTTGGTGGAATGCACAGTGACAGACGACCAGTGGAGGCGGCCGAAATCCCGGACGCATTTTGAGCTCCACAGTCGCTGAATGGGCCTCGAACCGAACGTGTGACCCACTAATAGATTGCTCTCCGAACGAGGAATCCATTGGTGGGGTCACACGTTTAGTTTAAGTCCTGTTTACCGACTCTGGAGCTCAAAACGCGTCAAGAGTTTCGGCCGCCACCGCCGGGTCTTCTGGCCCACCGTCGGACGTCCTGCTTCTGCATTTCCTGAGCCTTTGAAGCATTCGGTCATAACTCCTCGTTTGGCCGGGCTGCCCTGCCCCTGCCCTGCCCCTGGCCTGCCCCTGGCCTGCCACTGCCCTGGGGTTGACGTCGAGGCCTTATTTGGTCCAGGAATGAGACCCTTCGTCCTACCGGCAGTGCCGTCCCCCCGGCCACTCGGGGCCCCGGCCGGCCGGAGCACCTGGTGAGCATACATCAACCGCACAACCGGCGCTTGCTCTGTCTCGCTCCGTCTCGCTCTGTCTCGCTCTAATTTCCTCTTTCTCGCCCGTTGTCCCGAGCACACATGTTGCGCCCGCTCTCCGTTAATCACAGTGCGAGGCTGTTCACCTCCCGACACGCTGCACACAGCTCGCTCGTCACAACGCAGTGGGCCGGAAGACCGTTGGAGGCGGCCAAAACTCTAGACGCGTTTTGAGCTCCAGCGTCGCTACACAGGACTCGAACCGAACGTGTGACCCCACCAATGGATTGCTCTCCGAACGAGTCGGTTCGAGTGCCATTTAGCGACTCTGGAGCTCAAAACGCGTCCAGACTTTTGGCCGCCTCCACCGGTCTTCTAGCGCACTGTGGAGCGCCAAGCCGGCCAAGCTAATAAACGCAGAGTGGGTCATCTCCGACGACACTGATGAGGCTGCTTGCTAAAAAAACAGAAACACAAAAAAAGGGTAACGTGATTCCGGAAATGAATTCCCCGCACGTCTTTTGGCCGCCCTCCTCATGATCCACCCATTGGCCGCCATTGGCGTCGATGCGCTCTTCATCGCCCCATTTCGTATTCCGCCTTTGCCGAGGGTCGGGGGGAGAGGGGAGGGGGGGGGAGGGGAGACACCAATATCTTGCCCCGGGGCGTGGCCGCTTGGCTCCGAAGGGGGAAGGGGAGGCGAGATGCCCTGCAGGCGGGCCTCAGCGGTGAGTGCTCACCGTCAATGTCGCACTTACAGTGTCACCGGCATTTCGTCCCGTTTCTTTTCCACAGTGCGGAAATGTGCAGACTCTCACCGTGCAACAACCTAGAATTCGGGCTCGTTAAACTCAAATCGGGCGATGCGTTTGGCTAGCCGTGGCCCGTCCCACCGCACCACAGCACACCACAGGGCCCCGGGCCCGGCCTGCGGGGGCGGGCAAACCGAGGGGCAGGCGGGGGAGGGGGGGGGCAGAGGACCCCTCTGTGCTCGTCTGCTCGTCTGTCTCTTTTGACCGCCGCAGCACGCCTCACGGCCGGCAGGGCCCCACGCACTTCAGCCTCAGCCCCGCTTCAGCCTCTGCCGCAGACGTTTTGCCCTCGACATGCTGCCGCGACGCGACGCGATGTCAAGCGGGACCCGGAAATCCTGCATTCGGCCATAATTATTGCACTCCTTTTTATTATTTTTGCATCCAAAACACGCAGGGTCTCTCTCTC